CCCCCCCCCCCCCCCCCCCCCCCTCCTTCTTTTGATTGGGATGGAGGGGGTGAAGAGTGAGATTACCTGTATCTTTTAGCAAGATGTATTACAAGTACAAATGGTTTTTTCCTCCTATTTTAGGTTTACAATGTATACTTTAGAACATCTTCTTATGCACAAGACAACTAGCAGCTAAAACAATTTTAACTTTTTTAGTACTTCGTTCTTCTATGTTAAAGTTGGTCCAACTTACGTCAATGTTTTGCATGGTTCTGCAGCATTGACAAGGGTTTATAGGTTAACGCAGCAAATTGAGTGATCATGGAAACAACTACCTGAATATACTACGAAGATTACTCAATCGTTGTGCCTTTTTATGTTTATTGATTTGGAATGCCTTCAAAATGCACAAGTTAATTTCAAGGGAAGACTGGAAACTTGGCATCCTTTAGTGAATAATCAAGACTCTACACCAATTTAATGAATCTTACTTGTCTGTGATCTACCTTGAAAATCTCAGAGCAAACGAAATTCAGGTGAAAAAAATAGTATTGCTCCAGTTTAACAAATACGTAAAAAAACTCATGCCTCCTGCTATGCTTGAACTGTTAACAAGCCCTTTAATCTATCACCATCATTGACACAAAGTATCCTCTATATAGGTTTGAATTGGTGAGGAAGTCAAAGTAAGCCAACAACAATACTCAATTAATCCCAGGCCAAACCCTATTGCACTGCAGCCCCAGCAAAACCTGTGACAGATATCAGATCATGGAGGATTTAGGTTTGTTGTGATTAAATGGCCAACAATGTGCACACCCTCCACCAGAAGAAAGGAGTTCAATTAAGAACTTAATTACAAATGTCAAATACACACGGCTGCACACAAGCACCGTGACGCGCTTCAGATCAGGTTAAGCTAGAAGCCTGCAACACTAGTTCTGAATGACAGCCAAATTGATATGTTAATATGTGATTCGCAATAAAAATAAGCAAGAGAAACTCCCATCCAATGCAAGTAACAAGATGTTCAAAATTTGTTTTATTGCCAATAGGTTGGGGGTAATAATATATGAATTGGAGGATAGAGTGCCTACATATTTTAGAAAGGAATCCTGGGTGAGATTATATAAAGTAGATATTAGTTGAACTAAAGGGGATATGACCTATGAGAAGGTCCCCAGTAGATGAGTAAATCGACAGGTGGGTATACCAATACTTGTGGGAGGGAGGACACTTCTTTTGGACATTTTTCTTTGGTGGGTGGACAAACGGGTTAATTGCCAGGCTCCTAGGCACTTTTAGTTTGATCATGATAATACTATTGTGTCCAACGAGGTAGAAACAGACTTTATATGAAACCAAGTTGCCAATTAATACCTTTTGTGAGATTCTCAGAAGCATTCCTGACTGGTATTTTCAATATACTACACTGAAGAGATGAAAGCAGCGACGTAACCTGTAGATTAAACATCACAAGATAACCAGCTTACGTAAAGGTATTAGAAGAACAGTCCATACATGAAAAAGTTCATATATTGGTAAAGTGGATATAGATAAACCTTCTCAGAGCATCTAGTTATGGGACTTGAAACCTCTAGCCAATTCCAGGTGGCAATTGAAGATGCGTTCTCATCAAGACAACCATACTTGATTTGAGGAACATCTATTGGACTGCTACAAACTTCACGAAGTGAATATGAAATAAGAGTTACCGGATTTGTATTAGGAAAAGAAAATGAAAACTTCTACACTGAGTGGGAAAGTGCATGGAAGTACATCAGAATTTACTGTTACCAGCAATGATATTATCCCCATCTAGTGCTAGAACATTCCATGAAAGATTTGAGTTGCTAGGGCTTATTCGTGACACCTTTCCCCTAAAATGAAATTAGTATATCGTCGATCATACAAATAAGATCAACAAGGCCTCTACATGAATGAGATAGAACAGCATAACTCTGGAAAGCTACCTCAACACATCCACAGCAAGTAGTGCTTGAGTGCTACCCCAGACAGAAGATAGAATCATAGTGTATCCAACAGAAAGCCATGGTTTACTAAGGATATTTGACCAGTAAAGCCCAGGGAAACAGCCATCCTCAGCACACATCACGACAGGAACCTACAAAGGTCACACAGAATAATGTAAGAGGAAATGTGTGAGAAAGTTGTACCTTTTGGAGTTTACCAAGGTCATCATGCACATTCATCGAGCAGAATTTGCATTGCATCTTTACATCAGCAATGAAGGGGATATTTTGATGCGGGAACTGTGATGTGACGAAAGTCAACATCACAAACAAAATACATCTATATTGTCAGTTTGGAAACAATTCTGAATGCAAGCCCATGCAAGTCTGTATCCTTCTAATCAAATTTACTGCCTCACAAACTAGACTTTTATTCCTATCCCCCGGGGTCCTCACACAACCCTGGAGTCTGGACCAGCATAAATTTTCAATAAGGAAAAGTATGCACTGCCTTTTTTTTCATAAAACTCCAAAAAAGCATCACATGATTGCAGTCCAATGCAATTCAGCATGCAGCATATGACCCCAGAAAAACCTCAAACATAAGTACGTCACAGTGTAGTATACACATGTTATAAACTTCTGTCCAGCCATCCACAAAAGAAAATCTTCAATAAAAACTGCAGCCAAATATTTTTCAGTTCACAGAATTGCTCAATCGCAGCAAGTACATTGTTTTTTTGTAGTGATGCAAGCAGTTCTCTTAACATGCAAGATAGAATCAAAGTATGCAACATATTCACGAGCAAGGTTAGGCAAAAGAAAACCAACTTTTTACCCAAAAATGTGTACTTGTATGGTCTGTCAGAGTTCATCATATTCAGATTTTACCAGATAACAGATGAATAGCTCACCACATCAACAACTTCAGGACACTGCTTCCCATCAGTTGGCCAATCAATTCTATGGAGTGAATCTGTCGCAGAATGTGCCCCAGAATCTACAGAACTTTTTGCAGATAAAAAGACAAGGAACTTTCCATCTGGGCTGAAAAAATGATATCACTATAATCAGTTGTTGCAGGGCAGTTTCTAGTTGTTTTCGATTCCTAGTGTCCACAATAAATACAGTGCCAACACTTCTTCACCTATCAAATAGCCTGACAAAGTTAAAAGAATGGTGGAATAACTACGCAAAAAGTTAACTGCCCGTGTACAAGCAGAGGTAACTAGGAAGAGATCCCAATAACTTTAGAAAGCACAGCGTCACAACACAAGAAGCAAGCAGGACAGACTCTTAGTCTTAAAAATAAAAAAAAATACTTTGAAACTTACTATTACAATGCCTCTTGTACGCTAACAAACAACAAAACAAGCTCAAGGTCCCTTGTTAACATGCACTAAGTTATTACATTGCTACAATTATTGCAAAAGTGGGGTTCACACTTCACAAGAAAAAGAGCTACACATGCGGTGGAATCACAATCATGCACACAAGAAATGCATTTTTGTACTCTTGTGTCTTCTATTCGTGCATCTTCACCTTTTCACTCTTACTAGAAAAGTGAAAGGGGTGCTCCGGTTGAGCCACGCGATTCTTATGTGTTCTGAATACCAAGGTAAGTGAGATATTCAATTGAATCCCCAGGGAACAAACCTGAATAAAAAGGCATAAAAGCAAACATACCTGAAGCATGGAAAGAAAGCACTGGTTATGTTCGGAGTTAGGTTAAGCATGGTGACATCTTCAGGTACGTTAGCTCTGAACATAAAAATATATATTCTATGAGAATAAAACATGAAATCAGAACCAATTATAGAGATGAAGTGTGCGATATCTTTCATTACCAAAGCAGTAAGCTAGCACATGTATTTGAAGCAAGTAACCCACCTGTCCAGAAGTGCATTGGCTTCAGAACCTTGAAATGGAGCCCTGACCGCATATAAGGCACAAGGCCGGTTGTAGCAGTATTTCATACCAAGCTTTCTAGCATCTGATGGCCACCCAACGAACACTAAATATTGAGGCAAACCTTCAGTTGATGGAGCCCATACAACTTGTCCAACACTCAATGACCTTCCAACACCTTCAACAGAGCGTACCTCTCCACTGCAGAAATTCATATTAAGGACTTTCAGTGCAAAGAAACTAACTCTTGTCACAACATTGGTGCAAGACAGCAAGCAAAAGTAGTTAAGGGAACCTGTTAATATTGATAACAAATAGTGCAGGCTGCCTTTTTCCAGCATAAGTTTCCCCCCAATCCTCCTCCCAATCCCCTTGACCTTTCCAACTACCACAGTCCTTATCGGTGGAACCTTCTTTCTTGTAGCCCAAATCATTGAATGTGGGCTTGGAAGGAGCCGGTTCCTCAGCAACATAAGCAATGAAATTTTCATCAGAATTCCAGGAAATCCCCTCAAACCTGTATCATTAGGAGACATCTAGCCTTACAAGCAGTGAAAAAAGTCACATGAACAAAAAATCATGAAACTAATACTAGCACTACCAAATGAAAAAACAGGTCTGCCATGAAACTAGATATGACCAATATTATTTGGCCGTATTCACTAGTAAGAACGTGTTGAACATCAAAAGTTAATATCTGGATTATTTGATTGGTGCATCAAGTTACCATCCATCAGAATATATGGAGCCATGGACAGATTGAGGAACATGTAACTCTTTTTCCAATTGAGATGGACCCCAAATTTCGAGTTTAGTGGGAGTTTCATTTTCAGAATTTCGAACTACAAGAAGCTTTGAACCTGACGGCGATGGAACCATTACAGATGCGCCAGTGACTTCAATAGGAAATGGGGTCCACTGGAAACTTACAGAACCATTACTGTCTTTCAAGACATTACTAGATAAAATATGTTTCCTCCTCTTGTTGGCCAAAAGATTCGGTTGGTTAATTAAGAACATAGCCTGGGAACCTGATCCTGCTGCAAAAAATGCATACGCGAGGAGTCACTAGATGTGATGACTTTTAAAGATAAATAAAAGAAAAAGAAGAACAAATTCAAAGAAAAGGTGTATTCCTCTATTGGTTACAAAAGTAAAAGAAAAGGGAATAAAAGATAAGCAGCCGTACCACTGGCAGACTTAAAAGTCCATGCCTTGTCAATGGAGGAGATATTTGTGTATTCTTGAAGCAATTTACTCTGTGAAGCATACTCATCTTCAGCATCTGCATCTATACCAACTGGCATTTTATTCGGAGGGCTGACCCCAGAACTATCCATTGCTAAGCAGCCTGACAAGCTTTTACTGCAAATTGTAAGGGAAAAAAAAATAAGCAAAAGTCAATCGCAAACTAAAAAAAAAAAAACAGGTACAAGGTCCTCAAAAAAAACAGGGCACGACACATACATCTCTATGAAAAATATTTGCAATTCTCACCACAACAAAACAATAGTACCTAACATTGTGCAACCCTCCCCCCCCCCCCCCCC